ACTTTGGGAGGCCAAGGTGGGCGTATCATGAGGTCAGGAGTTTGAGAACAACCTGGCCAACATGGTGAAACCCCGCCTCTACTAAAAATACAAAAATTAGCTGGGCGTGGTGGCAGGTGCCTGTAATCCCAGCTACTCAGGAGGCTGAGGCAGGAGAATCACTGGAACCCAAGAGGTGGAGTTTTCAGTGAGCTGAGATCACGTCATTGTACTCCAGCCTGGGTGACAGAGTGAGACTCCGTCTCAAAAAAATAAATAAATAAAATAAAATAAAATAAAAATAAAAAAATAAACATGGAAATATTAAACTTACCCATTCTTAGACAGAAATATTTCCTGGAAACCTAACTTAATATTATAAAAAGGTGAGGGGATGGATCATGCCCAAGCTGTTGCCCCTTCAAGAGTATTTATCACCAAGTTGGCCCCATAAAAACTATTGCAGCTATGAAGAAAGGGTGTCACTGCGTCTGCCTTCCTTGAGAAGAAGGCAGAAAGGAGGTCCTGAAGACAGACAGCTGCACCTACCTCGGTGCCTCCAAGCCGGTCTGCAGACCCTTCACGATACGTGTTTAGGTAACCATCCACCAGGGTGGTTAGGTCAGACATCATCTCATCTAGGAGTGCCAAGCGAAGGGGTAACAGGTAGGTAGCTTCCAGGGCCAAAATTTTCAGTAAAGAGGGTGACACAGGTCGGATGAACCACACTTCTGGATTTTCCTGGAGACAATAAAACAATTTCCTCTGAATAGTAAGCAAGACTTTAAAGAAAATAATTGTTTAAGGCCAGGCGCAGTGGCTCACGCCTGTAATCCCAGCACTTTGGGAGGCCGAGACGGGCAGATCACAAGGTCAAGACATCGAGACCATCCTGGCTAACATGGTGAAACCCCATCTTTACTAAAAATACAAAAATTAGCCGGGTGTGGTGGCGCGTGCCTGTAGTCTCAGCTACTCAGGAGGCTGAGACAAGAGAATCACTTTAACCCAGGAGGCAGAGGTTGCGGTGAGCTGAGATCGCCCCACGGCACTCCAGCCTGGTGACAGAGTGAGACTCAAGAAAAGAACTGTTTAAAGTGTTGCTTAATTTAAGACACTATTGTTTTCTTCTATTATTACCTTCTACTTTCACACTATTGATAGCCTTTGAGCATACACACGCTTTGCACACATACTCCTACATTAACAGTGTGTGCGTAACAGAGAAAGAGCAGGGTAGAGGTTGGTCAATCAAGACTTCTCAAAGCCAGAGGCAGCAAACTTGATTATGTGAACAGAACTGCAGCCAATACAATTATGACCTGAGTTTGCATGCAAGGATGTCAGAAGCTAAAGAAAATTTACTTTACTTTGGGAGAAATAACTAGGGTGATTTTTGGTTCCATTGCCTTGATACAAATTCTCACAAAAATTTCCCCCATCACAGCTAGAAAATGTATTTAAAAGTGCTTATTTTATTTATTTATTTATTTATTTATTATTTTTTTGAGACGGAGTCTCACTCTGTTGCCCAGGCTGGAGTGCAGTGGCGTGATCTCAGCTCACTGCAATGCCCGCTGCCCCTGCCCCCAACTCTGTGTTCAAGCAATTCTCCTGCCTCCGCCTTCCGAGTAGCTGAGATTACAGACGCCTGCCACCATGCCCAGTTAATTTTTGTATTTTTAGTAGAGATGAGATTTCACCATGTTAGTCAGGCTGGTCTTAAACTCCTGACCTCAGTTAATCTGCCCACCTCGGCCTCCCAAAGTGCTGGGATTACAGGCGTGAGCCACTGAGCCCGGCCTAAAAGTGCTTTTTAATTGATAGTCAGCAAATCTGGATCCTGGCTTTTATCCACTTGAGACCAGATATAAACTATTCCCATTTGGCACAGTTAAGATTTTGGCAATGTTCATATGAGTACATGGCAGCTGTCATTTTTCTATATAACAGGCTGATAATACAGCTCAGAAAACACTTGAAAAAAGATAATGTCATACACGACATCCTCTAACACTCACCTGAATCAGTTTTTGTCTCTTTTCTAGAAAGGAGAGATATTTAGGGGCTACTTTAAGGTGTTTGATTAAACTCTCCTGCAAAGTAGTGATGCAGTTTGGAAGATAGCCACCCGTTTCCATGGAAAACTGAAGTACATCTGCTACCTGTGGTATTTTAAAAAGACAAACAGAGCAGTTGAATATATACAGAGAGCTATCTCATGCCAGAAATATATTTAGAGAAATGTCTAAATAACATTTTCCCCAAGGACCCACACAATAGACCATGTCATCAGGAAATTTAAAGTTGTTCAGTCAACTTAATCTGAAAAATGGGGGAAAAAAAAAACAGAATAAAAGCTCAATTTCTTTCTTTTCTTTTTTTTAAGGTGGAGTCTTGCTCTGTCACCCAGGCTGGAGTGCAGTGGTGTGATCTCAGCTCACTGCAACTCCCACCTTCCAGGTTCAAGCAATTTTCCTGCCTCAGCCTCCCAAGTAGCTGGGACTACAGGTGCAAGCTATGACGCCTGGCTAATTTTCAACTTTTTTTTTTTTTTTTTTTTTTTTTAGAGACAGGGTCTTGCTATGTTGTCCAGGCTGGAGTGCAGTGGCTATTCACAGGCAGGATTCCACTACTGATGAGCACAGGGGTTCTGACCTGTTCCATGTCTGACCTGGGCTCGTTCACCCTTACTTAGGCAACCTGGTGGTTTTCCCCACTCCTGGGAGGTCACCACATGGATGCCAATCTTAGTACAGGCATCCAATCAGCACAGCGCCCTACAGTCCAAAACTCCTTAGCTCAAGCAATCCTCCCACCTCAGCCTCCATAGTAACCATGACTACAGGCACAAGCCATCACACCCAGCAACCCAACTTTACTGTGTTCTTATCTACTTTCTTTTTTCTTTTCCTGAGATGGGTCTTCCTCTGTCGCCCAGAGCTGGAGTGCAATGGTGTGATCTCAGCTCACTGCAACCTCCACCTCCTGGATTCAAGCAATTATCCTGCCTCAGCCTCCTGAGTAGCTGTGATTACAGGTGTGCGCCACCATGCCTGGATAATTTTTGTATTTTTACCAGGGTTTCACCATGTTGGCCAGGATAGTCTCGATCTCTTGACCTTGTGATCCGCCTGCCTTGGGTTCCCAAAGTGTTGGGATTACAGGCATGAACCACTGCGCC